CGTGATGTGGGAAAGGGGAGCGGGGAATCTCTGCTTGAGCAGTGGGGGGTGGGGAGGGTGGGAAGGAGGGGCATGGGGAAGCCAGGCAGATGCTGCAGTGCCTGCCATCTCTGTCAGAGCTCCAGCCAGGGAGCAGAGAGGAGAGGCCAGCCCAGCTTTCTGGAGCAGAGCTCCACCCAGGGCTACAGAGCATCTGGCATTACTGAGGGACTCTGGTTTGAATTAAAGCAGGAAGGGGTCTGGGACAGATATTGCAAAAACTGGTTTGACCCAAATCAGTTAAGTCTGATACTACATTCAACCAGGTTTAATCTCAAACTGGTTCCAGACATTTTTAAACTGGTTTATGTGCACTGAACACCTGTTCTGTTACAGGTTTAAACCAGTTTCTGATCACTTAAACTGATTTATGTGTAACATCTGTCCCTAGCCTAAAACTTTCTCTTTTGGTCAGAACCTTTGCTACTAGGAATTCAGGATGCTGCCCTCTTCTTTCCCCAAAGCACAAGAAGCACTAGGCCTGTAAAGGGTGGCAAGTATTTGATTCTGATTCAGCTGATTCAGAGGGACAGCGATTTGATTTGGTGATTTGAATCACTGTCCCAATTCGATTTGGCTGATTCAGATCCGAAGATTCATCACCGATTTGGCCATAGACTAAGCAGGCAGCAGCCCTTGAGGATGATGAGCATAGCTGCCTCTAGCTGGCAAGTCTGCTGTGGTGGGCAGAAGGGGAGGGGAAGGGAGGGGAGGGGCATGTGGGGTGCAGATCAGTGCCCCCATAGTGAGGGAGGGATTGGGCCTGGGGCTGGGAAAAGGTGCCCAGTTGGGGAGGGGAGGCACGAGACTTGGGGAGGGGGGCTCCTGCCTCTGTGCACTGATGTGTGCCACCAGTCTGGGAGCTGCTCTTACTGGTGGCTCCTCTGGTAGCTCTCACTGCCGGTCCAAGAAGGCATGGGAGCTGGCGTGTGCCCTTGGATTTGCATGGGGTGAGCTCAGCTGGTCTGCGCTCTGGACAGGTGCTGGAAGTCGCTGGGAGTGGGGGTTATGCCATTCCGCCGCTCGTCCAGCTTCCCCACGCCTCCCAGACAAGACGTGGATCCGGGAGGGGTCAGCAGCAGGGTCTATGTGGAATTTTAAAAGGTGGCTGCAGTCCCCTTATAGTCCCTGATCCATTGCACTCTGCAAGGCAGGCAGAACCAGGGCTGTGCTCCAGGCTGCAGCTGGGGCTAGCCACCCAGAACGCAGCCCTGGTTCCACCTGCCCCGCAGAGTGCAGCCTGGCAGTGGGCAGCTGGGGGTAGCCTCCTGGAATGCAGCCCAGCCCAGCTCAGCCCACCCCACACAGATCCGAGGGCACATGCCCACTCCCATGCCCTCTCGAACCAGTGGCGCACAGTGGCAGGAGCCCCCCTTTCCCAAGTCTCATGCCTCCCCGCCCCAGCTGGGCAGCTTGTCCTAGCCCCAGCCCTAATCCCTCCCTCGCTGCTTCCCTCCCTTCCCACCCACCACAACAGACTTACCAGCTGGAGGCAGCTGTATCCAGCATTCTTGAGGACTGCTGCCTGTTTAGTCTATGGTCAAATCCCCAAATTGGTGCCAATCTCTCTGAATCAATTTGGAGACTTCCAATTCAATTCGGAGCTGTTAATGGGTCTCCCAATTCAATTCGGATTTGGAGATTTGGCTGCTGAATTGGGCCGAATCTCCTCCAAATTGAATTGGCCAGCGAAGCTTCACACAGCCCCAAAAAGCTCCCCTTGCTAACGCTGTCTTTTCTTGGTGACATTAACAAATTTCTTGTTTAGGCAATTTGTGAAGTAATTCATTGCCAATTGCTACTCTACTGAAGAAAAAGCTAGCCCACACGAGTATCCTCCCATAACTCAGACTCACTGTAATGGGGACTTCATTTGCTAGGTAACTGGCAACCAGGAATACTTTGAAAGATATGGAGTGCTCTAACACCAGTTGGGCTTTATAACAGAAAAGGCCCAAAGCTTCTCTGTTTGGTACTGTTATGTCCTTCTAAATCAAAGTTAGGTCTCTGAAGGGACTTATTTTTTTTAAAACAGATTTACCTTAATTTCCTGAGCACTGATATGGAGCTGTTTGAGAAATCAAGCAAACTAGGCCTAGAGCTGCTGTTCCTAGGCTCTCCATCCATCTGCTTTAGATAATTTAAATCATACTTGCTGGATACGTGCTACATTTGACTGTATGGAATTTGAATGCTAAATCCTAAATGGAGATTATCTTTGGTTCATCACCACACCAGAATGGCCCAGAGGTCATCCATCACCAAGTTCTTTTCTTTATCCTAGGACTTGGAATCCACTCTAATAAATGTCAAATTCTACCACATTTTCTGTCTGCCAGATTTAGAATACTCATTTTCCTTTGAAATTGGAACCCCATTATCTATTCAGTCCAGCTCTATGGATATGACAGTACCTTTAGAAATTACTAAACCAACAGATGCTACTGGTATTTAGAGAGACTGGCATCACCTAAGAAACATTTTCTGACCTTTGGTGTGAAAGACGTTATAAGGAAAACATGTTACTGCACCACATAGAAGAAGTATTCAACCCAACAAGCAGCAGAATTCATGTGGTTTGTTGTTAAATTTTTAAAATTAATTTACACCAAAAACTCTTTAAAAAGTAAAATGAAGGAACAACTTTTAACATTTGCTCCAGTTATTAACATTAACACACGTGTGTCATGTTGAACTATATTTCTATGTAAAAGAAGTGCTCCAGGCACTGATTAAGTAAGCTGCATTCAAAACATTTTGCAATCTTCTTAACTTTCAATTTAAGAAGAGTTCACTAACTGAGCTTATGGATAAATCTCCGATTTATCCGATTTTGCTTTTGGTCTAAAACAAAGGAAGTACAACTTTTGGAGCTGACAGGAAAAAGTAACAAAGAAAGAGTCTGCAGGAGAATGAGGGTAGATGCCTGTGGGGGGAACATCTTAGAATCTACGGTAAAGTCATACTTGGCAAAACTCAATAGATCTGGTAAACATCAAAGATAAATTTTAGCAGGATAATTCCATCTAGTACCATTAAAAGAAAAATGGGACCAGCAGGGTTACCAGTGAAAAACAATGCCAGGCCTAATAGCACTGATCTACCAGAAGCAATTTATTATGACACCAGAAATAGCTATTTTCACAGTGGATGCTTGAAATGAAAACTTTAAAGCTCCTTTAAGTCTTCAGCTATAGCAAAGTATTCAGCCAGCCAGCCAAAATAGCTGAAGGGAAATAGGAAGGCCACATATGGAACTAATTACTCACGTAGAGGCTATGACAAAGAACATTTCTCCAGACTTTTCATGGGGGCTTCACTTTCAGGAAGTAGCTATAATTACTGTTCAAGTCTAGAGCAGCCTGCATGCTGCTGACAGTTCCAAGAAAAAATGAACCTATTTGCCCTTTTCTTAGTCTGAAATGCCAAAATATGAAGTACAACTGGAGCCATTAAAAAGAAACAAAATAAGCACCAGCTTATTGTATTAGGTTTTCAAATGCAATTCTTTTTACAAATTAGCTTTTGCAGCCTTTAAAGAACTGCAAATTTTGCTTTTACATTAATTTGCTCTCTGTTGGCTGCAATGAAACTGTACATCTTGACTTTTTACAGCTTTTCCATACTGGGGCCCACTTCCTGCCCAGTTGAAGAAAAAAATCTGGCCTGAAGATGAAATGACTGCTTAACATTACACTAAAACATCTGGTACCATTTTATACACAGACCCATGTCTGAGAGCAGGCAATTCTAGCGGTCTCACCAGCGGCACAGTGCATACCCAAACCTCCCTAGGGTGACATCATCCCATATATGGACTCTCAGGCCCAGCCCTCCCCCTTTTCCTGGTCCTAAATTCATTGCCAGATCCCCAGTCTGCTGCAAATGTGCCACGTCAAGACTGGAAATCACAGCACTTCAGTGTGTTTCAGTGAGTGCTGCAGAGTTTGAGGGAAAGCTGAACAAGACCCGTGATGCAGGAAGGCAGTTCTTCCCAAAGACTAAAAGAGGATTTAAAATAAATAAATAGAAGCGTCCGGAGATCCTGCTCCGTCGCCCCAGTGTTCAGACTACCTGTTCAGGACAATGCTGTTGTACAGTAGTCTGCACATTGGTTAGACTGGGCAAGGGAAAGCAACGGCATGGACTATTGGGGACGCAAGTTGCGCTTGCCAAGGAGAAGACAGTTATTGCTCCTTTCAGATCTCATATACAGTATTTTTCTTCACAGGTTTTGCACACTAGGGAATAAGAAACGCTAAGGGACACTGAGAAAAAAGGAGGACTTCAGAATTATGCGGGAAAGACATTCTGGTAAGGCCTACTTTGGAAGAACACCTGGCCTATAACCTGACGAACCTAGGTGATTTCCCCTCCCCCATCCTTCCAATCATCACCGCAAGAAAGATGGAGCTCTGATGATTTACTAAAACGTATGCAAGAAACAGAAAGGTATAATATATATATATATATATATATAAAAAAAAAAAAAGAGAGAGAGAGAGAGAGCGCTATAAATATATATAGATATAGACATATATTACCCAGAGAGGTGTACCAGTAACTTCCTCTTTTTCTAACTTAAAATAAAGCTTGTTTTTCCCCAAACAAAAAAGATAAATTAAAGGTTTTGTAGACTGTGGCATTTAGTATGGATATATAAGGGGGAAATGAATAAAAAAAATGCAGGAAAAATACTTGATAAAAATACGCATTTTAAATAGCTCCTGTTATGAAATATAGTTTTTATGTCAATTTAAAGACACTATTTCTGTTTTTTAAAAATAAATCAATACTTAGGAAATGTTTGTTATGCTATTAAATGAAAAACAGTGTTAAATATTTCTAAAAGTGCCACTGCTGGAAAAACTGTTCTTTAATTTTAAATGCAGCTGAAAACTTCTTTGCAAATAATATATATCATATATTCTAACAAAAAGAAGTAAAAGCGACAAGTAAATATAGCATGATGCATCAATAGGCTTTTGCCACCAGAAAAACAAACCTCTGATTGGCAAGTAAAATTTTTCCTGAGAACAGAGACTGAAATGGTAAATAACAAGTAAAAAAAAACAACCCAGTAATGTAAGGTCACTATAAATGTCTGGGCATTGTTTGCAAGAGATCAGCACCAACCGATGGTTACAGGTCTCTTGTCTATACTGTGCCTTGCTGATATTTCTTCTAGCATTCAAAATGATAAGTTACTTTGTCTCAAATCCCACTGATAAAAATGGAATTTGTAAACGAATGCAAAAGTTTTCTTTGGTGAGTTTCCAGCTGTCCTGGTAAGGGAAAAAACCCCTCAGGCTAAATGAAATCCCTATGGAGAAAATAATACAAAAAGTCTGGGATGCAATTTGATACCAGCTGAACTTCAGAGTCAGCTCCCTTAAAGTTAATACAGATAAACTCATACAACTTCAATTTAAAAACATCTATATAACGATCATTATTTCTTGGGAGATTTTGAATTCATGTATTACAAACAGATACCAAAAATACAACTAACATTGTAATTAAGAACATGCAAATAGAGATTTTTTTAATCAATCTTGATGCTATGATTTTTTTTAAAACATATCCAGTATTACCTTTCTCAGTGCTCTTTCAAAGATAAGTAAGAGCCCTTTGAGGAGCTATAGTTATTCAGCTTTAGCTTCACAGTTCCTATACTGGTGATCAAACTGCTTATAAAGCAAGAATTATCACTCTTATTTCCCCTACCTTGCGTCGTAGTTTGTGTATTTTGACTAAAAATATAGTTTTATTATATACCTTCTTTGGTTCTATTCCATAAGAGATTTTATCTCATCTTTGGCACAGAAGAAATATTTTATTAATCAGTTACAACGTGATCAGAATTTTGTGTTCTTGATCTTTTTTAGAAAAAGTGATCAGGAAAGTAATAGCACACGTTTAATGCAAAGTTCTTAACAGAAATAAGAGGCAACAGAAAAAGCAGACAAATGAAACTGAATTCATATACATTAATATTTCTTGCTTCTAATATAAAAGTTGTTTTAGGCATGGCGAATCTGAAGTTTTATGGCTTGACTTTTGTTTAAGTGGAAGAAAATACATAGGCTTCAGAGTCTTTGCTCCACACTAAGAAATTTGCTCAGCTAGTTTCAAGGGAAATATGCCCCGTATGAAGATTTTTCCTGGGTTTTTTTTAATAATCACTTTTACATCTTTCATAGCTTCTAGAGTAGAATCACGCAGCCAGAAAAACTGGAAGCCATTCAATGAAAGCCAGTTAAGTAAACTAATATTAAGTGAAAGAAAACTGGAATCGACTTCTGCTAATTAGGAAAGAACAATAAATACATGCCGAAAATGTTTCTCTTTCCTCTTTACCATTTATTTGCATGCATCTTGACATATTATAATCCTATGTATTTAGGAATTATTTCCTCCACCCCCACCACTCCTCAATGTTACATTTTTAGACTATATGGTTGAAGATACAGGGGGGCCCCCTTGATGTGAGTTTTGGAAAAAAGGGAGGGAGATTCCAGTATGCAAATAGATAGGAAAAGAAAGACTGTATTGTTTATAAGGGACAAGGAAATACCTACTTCAGTACAGCAATCAAAATGATTTCAAAATATGAATTCAAGTAACTCTACTCTTCTTGAAAAAAACAAACAAACACAATTTGAGTTGAAACAACCTCTAGTTGATTTTAACCAGCCAGAGAAAAAGAATCATACTTTTTTTATTGCAGACATTTGATTTGATACTAATAAGGAAACAATATTTATGGGAATCTGATTATAAAAATAAATTATAAATATGCATTCATAGAAATACACAGCATCAATAACCAGACTTTTACAGAACAAAGAAGAAACAATAGGATTTGCACAGACTAGAAATATTAATTGCGTTTAGGTAGGGATAAATTAAAGAATTTAGACAGTTTCATGGTTCCACGACTGTACAAGCAGTCAAAACGATTGCATACAGTAGAATGTCTGATGTGAAAGACTTTTCCTATAGATAATACAACAACAAAAAAGGCAAATTAAAATCAGTACAAACACCTATTCACCACTAGGTCAGTGTTTCTGTACAATGGATCAGTTAGACAAGTCATTTTCTTTAAAAAATAAACTATTATGTCCAAAAAAGTAAGTAGAGGGAGAATGGGGGAAAAGAAAAAATAATATTTTTTTTAAGATGACGAATCATTTAATAAAAAGAAGAAAAACAGGAACTAAAGGAAGCAACTCCTTGACCTTACAGAAATGAAATAAAATTCCAGATAGACACATTGAAAAAAATGCTCAAAAAGGGAGAAAAAGCCACTGAGTCTTCAACCCTTTGTCAATAAGTTGCATGTTCTCCCTCCCCTGTTAGGGCTATTCCCTCTGGCTAATGTGTTTGTCTTAGCCAGATAGACTAAAACACTACCACCTTCCCCCACCCCCCACACACAAACACACTTCTGCAGACCACCCAAGTATCATTGCTATGTGGGAAATACTATAAGCAAAAAAAAAAAAAAAAAGTCAAATATCAGCATTTTTCAAACTTCTAGACATATTAAATAGTAAAATACAATAGTGTCAGGGTTAGGGAATCAAATATATTAATCAGAATGTGAAATATATAAAAAAGGTCTCATATGTCGAACAAGATCCAATTTCTTTACTTAAAAAAAAAAAAGTATTTTATTTTAGGAATAGCGCTTTTCTCATCTCCAGCTGCATATTTCAACCTTACTTGCAAAGAACTCTACTTACTAGAAATGTGCTGCACAGAAAATTCCAAGTTAAAATAACATTAAGGGTCAGGCTTTTACCTACAAGAGACAGGAAATACCAAAATTGAAGTTGGAACTCTTTTTATTCACTCTAGCGTGCTTTAGTACTGCATTATATATAGTTTCTTTAAAACATATATCACCCACTTGAATAGAGACCAGTACATGTTGCAATTGCATAAAATTTCAGTCTCAAGTCAGTTCCATAGCTACCAACAGTTAAAGTCAGACCCTTCAATGTTATTTTAATATAGGTTTGCGTAGTAGTCTACGAGGTTTTTTGCCTCTGCATTCCTATGCTTTCATAATATATGTGAAATATTGATTTACTTAAATCAAACCATATGTTATTAATTCCTTTATCATATATTGCACAAAAAATAGCCACTTAGTGTACAATTTTTGTAAACATGCAACAAGTGCCTTTATAAAGTATATATTAACCAACGGACTATAGCAGCCTGATCATGAAGTACTAAGTGAAATGGTTAGTTTAAGAACGAAATATACTCTCCTCAGTTCCACTTATTAAAAACATCCAACCACATTATTCTATTCAGTCTCCCTGTGTTTGGTCAGTAATTTCTAGAACACCACCAAATAACTCACCTCCTTTTATCCTCACCCTCCCAACCCCATTCCACAAATACTTGCTGCCCATATTAAAGTGTCCTGTGCATTTAGGGTTTGATCCTTTTGTGCTATTGGTTCCAAGGGTGCATTGTTTGGATTTTTTTTCCTAGACAATTGTTCTTTTTTGGAATGCCGAAACAATAGGAAGACACACTCCTAGGTTTTTCCTCCAGCGTAAAGATCCTTGACACATTTGAGCACCAAATCCACAAATGAAAACAAATGAAACTTATAATTAACAAATCATTTTATGTAGTTTTAAAAGCATTTTTGATTTATCATTTACTTTTCATGAAAGCAATGGAGTAGTCGACATTATGAACTTATCTTTTAAAAATGTCAGGCTATTGGAGGGCAAAAGTACAACTTTAAAAGTACTCAGTTGTAATTTCACTTGGAATTCCTATAACATTTTGAACAATAGTTGAAGACATTACACATCTATTGTCTTAACCGAAATAAATTATACATGGAGTTTTTGGTCGTGTTTTTTTTAATATACCTAAATTTCAACTTGCAAGGTTTAAAGCTGATAATGCATACATTTGAAACTAGTCTGTTACTTAAAGAAATATAGAAATTAGGACCAGAATAGTAGAATAGTTCATATCTATCATGAAACTTAAAAAACAAACAAACAAACAAACAAAAACACCTGAAAAATATCTATCTTGCATCCCTTTAATAAAAATCAACCCTATTCTAGCCAATGTTCAACCTGAAGTAATTTTTTAATTCCTTTTGTTCAGTATGGCACAGGTTTTAGAAAAGTCTAAAAATACAGTTAGAATGACCTCTGAAAACTACTCCTGCTGGCGCTAGTGAGCAACAATGACTTAAACCATGATTTGTATTAAAAAAAATATGGAACGTACTTTTTAATCCAACACCTTTTTTATTTTTTATTGTTTAACATAAGTTAGGCATGCTCAGGGGAATTTGAAATTAAAATGTTATATTAAATGAATTATTAGTAAACTAAGCTCCTTTTGAATGTTCTAAAGCAAAAGTTTCATATAACATCAGTTTCACTTCCAGCATATTCTGCCTTATTGGGTTGCTTCCATTTATACAGAAAGATTTTTTTTTTTTTTAACATGCAAGCTTGTGGTACTTATCTGCTCCTAGAAAATATGTACTGTGTAAACATATCCTTTATCTTGAATGTCAGTATTTCTGCATTTCTAAGAAGAGTAAAAACATCTGGTTAAATCATGACATGCTGTGCAATTACAGCATATAGGCAAACTTTTGTATGAACTGCATTTAAAATAAACCATGATTTAAATCATTGCTCTTTTAAAAACGTTCAGTGTGGCCATTCTATTGAAATCCCATCTCGTATAAATGTCAGCACAACTATTATGTAACAAAGGCATATTTTCTGAATAAAATCAAATGATGTACTTGTTCTACAGCTCCCTAATGTTTTAAAGTGTAATTCTGTCATGTGTGTTCCCTGCCCCTACAAATTCCCTAAACTTGGAATGGGACAGACTGATTCTTATGAGACGGTGAGGAAAGGACCCCCTGATGGATCCAAGGGATTGGCTGGACGGAGTTGTCATGTGTCTGCCTGTCTACACTTGCTGTGCAGAACATCCACTCACCTGTACAGCAGGCACAGACAGGCAGTCACATGACAACCCAGCCTGAATGACAACCAGCCAATGAGAGAACAGCTCTGACAGACTATAGCATCTTCACCAAGAGCTACAGCAAAGAATCATTTTTGGATTTCAGTCTGTTGGTTCAATAACTAAAGTCATGTGTACTTTTTATTATTATTAACTTGGTCATAATATTGAAACCCAACCAAAGTAAGATGAACGGTGCCTATAAAATAAAATAAAACCCACTGCTGAAATTTTTACTGTGCTTTCTATAGTACTCTTTTCCTAGTTGTTCTGATTAACTAACCATGATTATTACTTGTGCTCGGCTTTGCGGCACCTTTGTAAATGGGAAGATAAAAATACATTTCTCACTCGTACTTTAATAACCATAAATGAATTGGTTACTCATTTTTATTAAATTATGCATCGTTTGCGTACTTGTTAATCATACAAAAGAGAAAGTCTTTCTTTAACTAGGTAATTCTATACAAAAAAAAGATGCTGTTTGACTTAGAATCCTTCTTCCACCCCATCCTCCCCTTCACTAATCAAATTTTAGCCCTCTGGAGTCAAGAACATTCACTTCCTCATTCATTCTCACCCCTTCATCACAACATATACATTGTTTTATAACTGTAGTAAAAGTGTAAATTAAATTAAAACAATAAGATTTGGTTCCTGAATGGTGACAGTATATTTACCTTGAAATAAAAAAGTATTTTATTTGAAAAGGAAAATTATATAAATGTTGCAAATAAATGCAAAAAGTCAAATTGAAAGGGTTCCCAACCTAGGGTCCAATCCTACATTCCTTGTACACTAACATTTCCAAGAAAGTTGTTGCCAGTTTGGAGTTTACAAATTATACAGAATAATACCTTCTGATAGCAGTTCATTAAACATACAATAATTTTTACAAATTGTATCCTTTTCTTTGCAACGAAGAGTTTTGATTCACAAAGCTCTTTTTATTTCTTATCTCTTTTTCACACTGTGCTAGAACCTTGATAACAGGGTTACTAACCCTAAGACTTTTTTTTTAAACTGGCAATTGGAAAACTTTTTACTGGCAAACTATATATATCTATCTATCTATCTATCCATCCATCTATATATAGATACACACACGTTTTTACTATCAGAAAAACAAGCCTCGGGTTGGCAGTCCTGTGACTACAGCAGTGGTTTTCCACCCTGCTGCCCCTTCTAACCCAATACCTTGACACTTCTAATTACACTCTGCACCCTGCTTGCACCCCACCCCCCACAGTCTTCCCCCACTGGCACCACTCTCCCCTGTCATGGCACTGACCCCCCCCAGCTGTTGTCTCTTCCCCCCTTCCAAGCTCTGCAACACCATCCCTGTTGCAAGGAACTATGGAAACTCTGATGAGCCAGACAGCCATGACATACAGCTCACTGAAGGGCATCAAGCAGTGCACCTGCTTGGACACAAGATAGAGCTGCTCTGCTTTTTCTGTCCAGCATCAGTGCTTGAATATAGTTTGATTTGAGCACTGAATCTTGAAACAAGCTCAGGACTTCTTATTTTTATGGAGGCTCTATTATTTTTAAGGAATTTATGTACAGGCATTTTCAGGCTGGTTATTTACAGATGGTCTGTAAATTTTTGGACAACTGGCAACTTTGCTAACTCCCATTCTAACTCACAAACCCTATAATCTAAACACAAAACATGAGGTCTTTTAAATCTTCTAGCAAAGTTAATAGCTGCGAACTAATGTGAATTGCTAAGATTTGATTATTTTTTTAAAAATGAATTACAGATTACCTTACCCAGTAATGTTCTTGAAATTCTCTACTAATTAAAACTTTCATAGATTTCATAGACGTTTGGGCTGGAAGGGACCCCGGAGGATCATCAAGTTCACCCCCCTGCCCCAAGGGCAGGAAGTCAGCAGGGATCATAGGATCCCAGCAAGATAAGCATCCAAATGTGTCTAGAAGGCGTTCAAAGTAGGTGCTTGAACCGCCTCCGGCGGCAGTCTGTTCCAAAACTTGGGGGCTCAGACAGTGAAGAAGTTCTTTAGTTGTCAAATAAATGAATGCATTAGCCTTGTACTTAATTGCTCATTTATTAGCAATTAGTCCCATTAAAGATAATGGGATTAGTCATTTGATAATGTTACACATATGCGATAATGCTAAGGCCCCCATCTATAGGATGCGGACCTTAATTCACATTGGATCTCCCAGAAATTCATATAGAAATTCACACCTTTATCCAGATTTTTCTTAGTGTTCGAGGACTGATCAAACTCTCAAACGTTTTATTTTCTGCAAGCAGTAAAATACTCATTTATAATCACAAAGATTAAAACCCTTGTCCTTCTGTTTGAACAGCAACAAAATAATATCAATAAAGAATAATACAATCAGTTTGTTTCTAACTTCACTAGTCAAGTCAAACAAGAAATCTGGAAAGCTATCCTTAGGGAAATGCACTTATATCCAAAATAACTTACTCCAAAATAAATTCCATCATGAATTCTTTACTATGAAACCCAGAGCCCATAAATGAAGCAAAAACTAGCTTCTGCAAATGGCAGCAGCTTATAATAACCACTTACATTTATAGGTACTTTTAACCTCAAAGTAAGTCCCAACTATGCAAACTATAGGCTTCAGCCTACACGGGAAGAGCCTCACAGCCCCACTGTCCTACAGACATTGTACCTCAAGAGATGTCACTCAGAACAGTTCCCTGGCACACCACTGCTTCTACAATCCTTAATGGTTTGAAATGTAGATTCATTCTATGCCTAGTGAACTCCAATGCTTAATGGAGCAAGGACAGCAAGCACCATGTCCCTGCCTATTTCCCAATCTCTCTGGAGAAGGCAACACCACAAACAGAGCTCAAATCAGAGGATCACTGTGCTCAGGTCTGTGTAAAAACTGACCAGCTTATAAGTGGGAGGAATTCCTCATGGACTTACATAACCTGCAGCTGTAGAGAGCCGAGTCTCTACGAAAATTGGTAAATATGGATATCACTTTACACATCAGTGAAGATTACCAGCCCTAGGCTAGAATACAACAGCACATAGTCAAACTAATGGATAACTTATGATAAGAAATGACAACTATCTTACTTATTCAAAAATAAAGAGAATGTTTAGAGAAGAAAAACATAATTTCCCAAATAGGAATTGGGGTAGAAAAATCAAATGAAATGTAGTCTACTTCTATAAAAAATGGAGCACTGGACTTTTAATGACCAGTGGTGAGACTCTTCAATTTTAACCTTTTACATAAAACATCAAACATCTGAATTTGCTGATTGTTAAGTCTGAAAGGTCTACATCTTAAAACAGGGTAAAAATCTGATAATATTTTTGTGATCTCTACTCCAGGAGATAACTGACAAGAACAATATTTCACTCCCCATTAACCAGGAGATCTCTGTAGCATCTGAGATACTGCACTCTTATCTCCCTCTTCATAATTTAAAGAGCTACTGTGACATGTCCTACACCAATCTATTTAACTACTGCCCTTTTCATGGCAAGTGCCAAGCAGTTGTTCTTGTTTTTCCACATATTAAAGGTAGTTATGCAATGGCAAGACACCTTTACATGATCTGCACTCTTCAGAAGTTATCAGGTGACTTTGGCTAATAAGACTATAGCTAAGTAAGCAATTTAAATTAGTGTAGCACAGCAGAAGACGCTTTCAAACGTTCACTTCCTGCTGACCTTAAATACAGAACTCAAGAATTCCCACAATTCACTTTTGATGCATTTCTAAGCACTTGAGATAGCACTTAGCCAGAAAAGTTAACAACATTGAACTCTTAAGGATGCAAGAATATTTCCAAGGAGATATGCTGGTAACATCATTAACCAAAAAAAGAAAACACCAAGTGATGGACCCCTGGAAACCAAAGAACAATTTTCCCATGATATGATAATAATGCAGAACATTTGGTTCACTGGAATTTTCAGTAACTTCTACATTATAACTTAAAAGTATTAACCATCCCTTATTTTTCTCAAATAAATGTTTAAAATGCCATAGAAGAATAATGTCTGCTTTCAAACCTGACCATTTACAAACACACCCACAAATTTGATTTCTTGAATCTATTGTTTTTATGACCTCATAGTAATCTAAACAATACCCTGCCAGAATTTTGAAGACCAAACCACTTCCTTTCACATGTACTGTAGTTCTTAATTACTCTAATTTATTAAAAATATTTTGATCATAATAGATAATAGCCCCCAGTGTAAATTAGAAATACCTATACCCCTGTGAGATTTAACCAAAGGCATGGGCCTTCCAAATTAACCTTGCACAAGCTCAAATTTAGAATCCATCCCAAAATAAAGACTATTTCTCGAAAACACTACTATTAACACTCTTTGCAATGACCTAATACAATATGCCAGGTATATTTAAGATCTCTACTCTACTCAGTGAGTGCATCTACACATGGCATTAATATGCCTGGATAAACTCTGGCACAGTTTGCACCAGAGCCTATCACTCCTAGACGCATTTACACATACACCCAGGCCACAGCATATTGAGCCATGGTGCTCTAATCCCGGATGGCAGGTGGTCCAGGGAGTCAGCCTGCCAATCAAGAGCTGCTCCACCCCAGTTCACCAGGCTGCGGAGGGGGGGCTGAGGCATGAGGGTGTTACAGTATGGGTCTAGCCAGCAGGCAGTCCCCACTCTGTGGCACCCTTGTGCCCCAGCCATCCCCGGTCACCATCTATACGTACACTGTGGCACATACTAAATAACTCCACCATAGGACAGTACATGTGTCAGGCAGTACTATCCTACATCAGAATTAATTTACTGCAGCCTAATAATGCTGCATGTGTAGATGGTGACGCTTTACTGTGAAGCTAATTAATCAACTCCACAGTAAAATGCATGTGTAGATGTGCCCAGGGTGTCTAAAACCAAGTTTCCTGAACTATGATGTTTATAAAGCCAAAACAAAAAACAAACAAACCATTTTTCCTCCAAAACTGCCATCAAACACCTTATCTCCCTCCCAAATCAAAACCACCCTACTCCCAACAAAAGGAATTAAGTTACGATTTATTTAAAACAGCGCAGAAGCATTGGAAAGTGACATATTACCCATAGTTACAAACTTGTTATTTTTAACTCTCATTTATTGCTTAACTGAATATGCTTTCGTATGAATAGTATTTTATAACTCAAGTGAATTTACTTGACCATAAGGACCATAAGCTTGAAATCAAGTTAACACCACTAAAAAGTTATTCACAATTCCAGGCCTCTGACATTCAGCAGAAACACAGCTATAATATTTAAAAAATGAATCTATTTATAAGAACAATAACTCAATACTTTTACTTTACATATTAGATGCAACAAAATCAAAATGGACCACAAAATTCCAGCACGTTCTTGTCTTTACACCTTGAAAGAGTTAAGGATTAGAAGTTTATATTCAATGAGAAGGAATATTATATTTATCTTCTCAAAAATTATATAGAAGTCTCAACAGTATCAGTAGTCCCTTAAACAAAAGGAATAGATAACTGCAAGAACGCTAGTCACCTAAAATGTGATATCCTAAAGTAAGTCAGGTTAGAAGAAAAATAGGACTAGGAACTCAAGTTCAGTGCAAGCAAAAAGTACAATCTTCATGAGAAGCATGTCAATAAACACAATCATATTTCCTATGGGCATTAATCGTTACGTCCTTACCTCATCATCTTTATACCAGGACAAGCTTTCTGCAGTCAGAACAAACCAGTATTCCTTGGAGCCTCCTTTCATGATACCAATGTTGTTGATGGTCAACCAGCCCTTCCGGATTACCTGTACAGAATTGTAGTCAGACATATGGTTAAGGTAATCCCTTGTTGATTACACACCAAATCCAAATCCGATGCTACATTCATTCTCAAAACAAACTGCTCTTTAAAAAGTAACTTTTTCATTTTCTGACCAAGTTATAATCTAATATCTGCAGGTTCTGATGACTACAAGAAAGAAAAAACACAATATAAAACAAAAATGACCATTTTAACACATAGGGAAAGTGGAGGGAAGTCTAGGCATGGTCATGCTGTAGTTAGATCCTTATGTATAAAGGTTAAATATCAAATGTGTGATTCTAGCACAACTGCTAGCCAAGTAGTAGTAAACTGTGGAAACCTGCATGAAAAACACCAGGACTTAAACCTTATATTTACTTCACTGCTGTGTCTATAAGATTTTTAAGCATAGAGGCCATTTCTGCAGCTGGCTATTTGAGCCACCAGCTTAGTCTGTGGCTTCTGGAAACCTTATACATCAGAGAAAAGGACTTTTTGAAGGGTCCCATCAACTTAGAAAGGAGGCCTTGCATAATTTATATCCTTTCAAAGAAAAATGACTACATTTACAAAAAAGTAGACAGAAAAAGCAAAAGACTAGAAAAGATAAAGAGGAGAAAGAGGAAAAGAAAGGAGTATATAAGACAGACGACTTCTTTTTGTGTCTCTACACCATAAAATGTCCATTTCATCACACACAATTTTGCTTGTTTATTGTACTTTGCAACATATTTCATTTCACATGAGCCTTCAAGCAGTGGGCGCTACAACAGGTGTTTCATAGTCTGAGGCTCTGTGCTGCAGTCACATGTGGCTGAATCAGTGGTATTGCCCCACTTCTTCACTAGTTCCTTGGAGCGCCCGACTCCAGTACATAGGCAGTTGAGACACTGCCACCTTTGCCATGGTTTGTCAGGTACCGGTGGTAAGAACTCAGTCACTGGAACATCCATTTTTTGTTGTCAGGTATTTTCTTCAGCCTCTCGTTCCACATCTGTAGTCATGTCTCCTTGGGTTTCATTGAGAGGTTGGGTGCTGGTTAGAAAACTCCTGCATGACTTCAGATGTTTGTGTGCTGTGTGGTCATACAGGGAGTAGATGAGTCTTTCTTCAGACAACTAGCACAAGTTTCCAGATTACAGGTCCTGGTTCTCATAGGGGACTTCAATCACCCTGACATCTGCTGGGAGGGCAATACACCAGTGCACAAGAAATCCAGCAAATTTTTGGAGAACGTTGGAGACAACTTGCTGGTACAAGTGTTGGAGAGACCAACTAGGGGCCATACTCTTCTTGACCTGTTGCTCACAGGCAGGGAAGAATTGGTAGGGATGTAGAAGTGGATGGCAACTTGGGCAGCGGTGACTACAAGATGACTAAGTTCAGGATCCTTACAAAAGGAAGAAAGGAAAGAAGCAGAGTATGGACCTACAACTTTAGAAAAGCAGACTTTGAATCCCATGGAGAACTGATGGGCAGGATCCCCTGGGAGGCCAGGCTGAGGGGGAAACCAGTCCAGGACAGCTGGTAGTATTTTAAAGAATCCTTACTGAGGGCACAGTAACAAACCACTCTGCTGTGCAGGAAGAATAGCAAATGAGGAAAGCGACCAGCTTAGCTTTGCAGAGAACTCTTTGTTGAGCTTAAACACAAAAAGGAAGCTTACAGGAAGTGGAATCTTGGACAAAACCTGGAAGGAGTATAAGAATATTGCTCAGGTATGCAGGGATGAAATCAGGAAGGCCACAGCACAACTGGAGCAAGTTGCAGGTAGTAAGGGATGCAAAGGGTAACAAGGGTTTCTACAAGTATGTTAGCAACAAGTGGACGGTCAGAGACAGTGTGGGTCCCTTACTGAATGGAGGAGGCAACCTAGTGACAGACGATGAGGAAAAGGCTGAAGTACTCAATGCCTTTTTTATCTCGGTCTTCACAGACAAGTTCAGCTTCTAGACTACTGCACCTAGCAGCACAGTTTAGGGAAAAGGTGAGCAGCCCCCAGTGATGAAAGAACAGGTTAGGAACTATTTAGAAAAGCTGGATATGTACAAGTCCTGGGGTTGGATGCAATATATCCAAGGGTGCTGAGGAAATTAGCTGATGTGGCTGCAGAGCCACTGGTCATTATTTTTGGTAACCTGTGGCAAACAGGAGAGGTCCTGGATGACTGGAAAAGGGGAAATATAGTACCCATCTTTAAAAAAGGGAAGTAGGAGGATCTGGGGAACTACAGACAAGTCAGCCTCACCTCAGCCCCCAGAAAAATCATGGAGCAGGTCCTCAAAGAATCCATTTCTAAGCACTTGGAGGAGAAGAAAGTGATCAGGAACAGTCAGCATGGATTCACCCAGGGCAAGTCATGCCTAACCAACCTGACTGCCTTTTATGATGAGACTAACCAATTGCCTGTCAAGAATGATGGGGGAGAGGGGGCTGGGATGGAGTGCTGCCACCTAACGTCCCATGCTTCTGCTGTTCTGCCTCTTGCAGGGAGTGGGGAGGCCTTGGCTGGCCTTGGCTCCCCCACCCTCTGTCTGGTCCAAGGCACAGCTTCGGAATCATGGCAGTGCTCCCCCATGCTTGAATCACTCTGATTGGCTGTTTCCATCAGCCAATCAGTGTGCCAAGAAAGCGTTACAGACAGACAGACTTAGGCTTTTATAATATTAGAATAACTGGCTCTGTGGATGCGGGGAAAGCAGTGGACTTAATATACTTTGACCTTAGCAAGGCTTTTGACACCACCTCCCATAGCATTCTTGCAAGCAAACTGAGTTGGATGAATGGACTGTACAGTGGACAGAAAGCTGGCTGGATTGCTGGGCTCAAAGGAGATTGTCATAGATCAATGGCTGAATGTCTAGTTGGCAGCCAATATCAAGTGGAGTGCCCTAGGAGTCAGTCCTAGGGTCAGTTTTGTTCAATACCTTCATTAACAATCTGCAAAATGAGATGGATTGCACACTCAGCAAGCTCACAGATGACACCAAGCTGAGAGGAAAGTAAGTATGCTGGAGGGCAGAGCTAGGATTCAGAGTGACCTAGACAAATTGGAGGATTGGGCCAAAAGAAATTTCATGAGGTTTAACAAGGACAAGCGCAAAGTCCTGTACTTAGGATGGAACAATCTCATGCATTACTACAGGCTTGGGACTAACTGGCTAATCAGCAGCCCTGCAGAAAAGGACCTGTGGGTTAAAGTGGGCAACAAGCTGGATATAAGCCAACAATGTGCCCTTGTTGCCAAGAAAATTAACAGCATACTGAGCTGCATAGTAGGAGTGTTGCCAGATTGAAGGAAGTGATTATTTCCCTCTATTCAGAACTGGTGAGGCCACACATCTGCAGTACTGCGTCCAGTTTTGGGACCCCCACTATAGAAAGGATGTGGACAAGTTGGAGAGAGTCCAGAGGAGAGCAATGAAAATGGTTAAGGGGCTGGGGCACATGACTCAGAGGGAGGCTGAGGGAACTAGGTCTATTTAGCCTGAAAATAATTGTGGATTGTGAACCCCACTCCAGCTCAGGCTGAGACAACCCCAGCCTGCAGCTCATTCTCCCTCCCTTCCTGCAAAAAGGACTGGAACTGGGAGGCAGGGGAGCAGGTCTAGGGGAGAAAGGCTCCAGACAGGCTCCTCAGCTAGACTGGCTCCAAAGTGGAGCCTGATTCCCCCTTCCCCACCCCTGGCCCAACAGGCAAACATCTGTTGGGTCAGGGGGACTGCTCTAACTCATGACACTTTATGTAAAGTGCTATGAGTTAGAGTATGGGCCTGTGCATCTGTCAGCATCCATAATTCCACTCCATTCAGAATTCACATAGGTTCAATTAGTGAAAAAGCTTTGACATGTATGCAATGAGAGAATAGTTTACATTAACAGCATAGGAACATAAGAATTGCCATTTACTGGGTCAGACCACAGGCCCATCTTGTCTAGTATCCTGTGTCAAACAGTAGTATAAAGTAGATGCAGAAAGGAAGAGTTAACCGAGTATGACCAGGATTTTTTTCTAATGTTCCTCTCTCACTTGCAGCCTCCAGCAGCTAAGGTCTAGGAAGTTCCAATTCATATATTGTACCCCTCACTCCCATACTCAATAGCTACTTTCATCCAAGAATATGTCTAGTCCCTTTTTGAATCTGGCTAAAATTAATTAATATTCATTAACAAGGACAAAGAAGAAAGGCCCATGGTGTTGCCTTTGGGTCTTGAACTGGCCCTCCATACTGCATGCTGCACAGTATGCAACCCTGAGGCTAGGAGTTCAGAGCAGCTGCATCTCCCAGCTCTGGGGATGTGTGGGGTGCCCCCACAGCTATAAGTCTCCAAGCTGAAGGGACTCCCAGGTGTGGAAACTTGCTTCTTGCTGGTGCAAGAAGAGCCCAGGATTGGGCTTCCTCTGCACCAGCAATAAGCCATGATAGGATGTATTGCATGATCCCACAATTTCACCTCCTGCCATGTACAACTTATGGCCTGTAGAACTTTTGGATTTGGCTCTTGGGTCTCCAAGCAGTATTCAGCAGTGGCGGGCATCTTCTGTTGGAACTCTCTCTATGTCCCTGGGAAGAAAAGCTGCAGCAGCAGCAGGGCCCTACCACCCATCTGCTGTTGACCCAAGGTGGGTCATCCCAGCCCAAAGCCACAACAGATTGCCTACCTCTGACCTATGGTGCAAACTAAGCAGACTGATGGGAGCAACAAACCTGTGAAGAAGTTCTATCATCTCTCTGTTAATTTGCATGCTAATAAAACAAACAAACAAAAAAACCCTTTAAAAAAAGTGTGACTTTTTACCCCATATACCAAAACATGTTGAAGGCAGGTTTGAGAGCACACTGGGAAAGGCACCACTGTACAAATCCAAAGGTACATCACATCCCTGTATTAAATTACATTTTAATACATCTACTAAAATTAGTGAACATCTCACTGAACCTAATTGGAAACAACCATATATGGAGTGTGTGTGTGTGTGTGTGTGTGTGTGTGTGTGTG